GAGCAATGTCGATATTTACTCATGAACAAATACCATGTCGATCACGTTTGAATTATGGGGAAATCTTTTGGGAGAGTTACCAGAGGTATGCCATATTAGCTTACAAACGTCGTGGACAACATAATGTCACAGTGAATGACAACATAACATTGTCGTTCTGATCAACATGTTGCCTCAGATAAACTGCAGCTGTTCGTGACAGATTACCCACGTCCCAGTTATATAAATGCCAACTCAGCAATTAAATAATCTTCCTATTTAATTACGTTGAATGTTTAAACCTTCCGTTTTTACACTGCATCTTGCCACGCCACCCTCCATTACTTTTCGGTCGAAGGCTTAAAACTCCAGAGCAGCTCAGAGTGGTGATAAGCCATGTCGCAGCATGGTAGAGCTGGGTTAATCTGATCGTGGTGAGATACTCGGGGCGGCATTCAACCAGTCTTCAGCTTCTTGTTTGTAGTGTCAGGGTAGTGTTTGATTTTCTGCTACAGAATTCAGTGTGCATATAGAGATATATAGTGCACATTACTACTACTTTCTGAAAGAATACCTGGACATTAACCCACCAGTCACCTCGCCAGTTACCCCGCCAGTCATCTCGCCAGTTACCCCGCCAGTCACCTCGCCAGTTACCCCGCCAGTCATCTATTCCTTTTTGTCTCGAAAACCTTCCGAGACATCAAAGATGTCGAATGATGTTTATTACTCACCCGTTGAAGATGTCACTGTTTAACATTTTACAAAGTTATTAGCGAAAGCTGAGAGTCATCACCCTTAGTCTTAGGAAAGAGGTACTTTGCTCGACAGTATTTTGCTAATGTTGGGCGAGTAATAAATAAAATACTAAACTATGCCCCGTGTAGTACCATTTATGAAACGAGTGAATGGTTTGGTATCTAATGAGAGCGAACGCGAGTCTGATACCAATACCATTCACGTGTTTTACACGGGACATCGTTTAGTATTCTCTATGTATCATACATTCACATACATACCCATCGACAATTCACAAACGTCATTAGTTTGCTGATGTTTTCTGGCCAATCGGCTCCAGCACTCCCATAACAAATAACTTGCCATCTTTGAGCAGATGTCAGTTGAGGTGGTCCCCTATTTGCTTATCAAAATCGAAATCCATTGACTGTTTGAAAATATTGAGGTGTAAGAACAAGTTACCGAAACTTGATATTTACTAAATGCCGGTATCGCATGTGATGCTCATCTTTGATCATAGCATGTACATAAATCTAAAATCAATGTATCATTGTCGTGCCCGAAGTGTCAAAATAATCAAATAAACATAATTATGATATGAACATAAATGGTTGTAGGTGTGTAAGACCATCTGTACAGGTATCACTCTCATCTGTACAGGTGTGTAAGATCATCTGTACAGGTATCACTCTCATCTGTACAGGTGTGTAAGATCATCTGTACAGGTATCAATCTCATCTATACAGGTGTGTAAGATCTTCTGAACAAGTATCAATCTCATCTGTGCAGATGTGTGTGATCATCTGTACAGGTATCAATCTCATCTGTGCAGGTGTGTGATCATCTGTACAGGGTTGTGTAATGTACACTAGGGGTTGTGACAACACTGAAAGAGTCTGCAGACAAAGTTGACTCCAAGGATTTTACACCCGGTCACAGGTGGGCTTGATTCCGACACCTCAACCTCGCTGGATCACTAGCCTGGCGCTTAGCCAGCTCTCGCCCACCGCGCCCCCGCGCCGCTATACATGCAGTGGTATATTGACTGTGTCTTCTCTACTTTACAGCTATACATGCTGTGGTATATGGACTACATCATCTACGTACAGCTGTACATGCAGTGGTATATTGACTATATCTTCTACTACTTACAGCTGTACATGCAGTGGTATATTGACTATATCTTCTCTACTTACAGCTGTACATGCAGTGGTATATTGACTATATCTCCTCTACTTACAGCTGTACATGCAGTGGTATATTGACTATATCTTCTCTACTTACAGGTGTACATGCAGTGGTATATTGACTATATCTTTTCTACTTACAGCCATACATGCAGTGGTATATTGACAATATCTTCTACTTACAGCTGTACATGCAGTGGTATATTGACTATATATGTTCTACTTACAGCCGTACATGCAGTGGTATATTGACTATATCTTCTCTACTTACAGCTAAACATGCAGTGGTATATTGACTATATCTTTCTCTACTTATAGCTGTACATGGACTGGTATATTGACTATATCTTCTCTACTTACAGCTGTACATGCAGTGGTATATTGACTATATCTTCCTCTACTTACAGCTGAACATGCAGTGGTATATTGACTATATCTTCTCTACTTACAGCTGTACATGCAGTGGTATATTGACTATATCTTTCTACTTACAGCTGTACATGCAGTGGTATATTGACTATATCTTCTCTACTTACAGCTGTACATGCAGTGGTATATTGACTATATCTTCTCTACTAACAGCTGTACATGCAGTGGTATATTGACTATATCTTTCTACTTACAGCTGAACATGCAGTGGTATATTGACTATATCTTTTCTACTTACAGCTGTACATGCAGTGGTATATTGACTATATCTTCTCTACTTACAGCTGTACATGCAGTGGTATATTGACTATATCTTCTACTTACAGCTGTACATGCAGTGTATTTTGACTATATCTTTTCTACTTACAGCTGTACATGCAGTGGTATATTGACTATATCTTCTCTACTTACAGCTGTACATGCAGGTGTGTGATCTTCTATCTGTACATCTGGTACAGGTATTGATCTCATATGTAAAGGTGTGTGATCTTTTCTACAAGGTGCTTACAGCTGTACATGCAGTCATATCTCATCTGTATCTGTAAGGTGTGTGTCTGTACAGGTATTAATCATCTGTATCTGTACAGGTATCAATCTCATCTGTACAGGTGTGTGTGTATCATCTGTACAGGTATCAATCTCTCATCTCTGTACAGTGGTGTATGATCATCTGTACAGGTATCAACCTCATCTGTAAAGGTGTGTGTGATCATCTGTACAGGTATCAATCTCATCTGTACAGGTATTAATCATCTGTGTGTGTGATCATCTGTACAGGTATCAGTGTATCAATCTCATCTGTACAGGTGTGTGATCATCTGTACAGGTATCAATCTCATCTGTGCAGGTGTGTATGATCATCTGTACATCTGTATCAATCTCATCTGTGCAGGTGTGGTGATCATCTGTACAGGTATCAATCTCATCTGTGCAGGTGTGTATGATCATCTGTACAGGTATCAATCTCTGTATCTGTAAAGGTGTGTGATCATCTGTACAGGTATCAATCTCATCTGTAAAGGTGTGTGATGATCATCTGTACAGGGTATCAATCTCATCTGTGCAGGTGTGTATGATCATCTGTACAGGTATTAATATCATCTGTGAAGATGTGTGTGATCATCTGTACAGGTATCAATCTCATCTGTAAAGGTGTGTGATCATCTGTACAGGTATCAATCTCAGATGTTTCCAGACATATGTCTGGAGGGAACACGTCTGCCGAGTTTCACCATCATTGGTCTAGTGGTGTCTGAGGAGTGTGGGAAGTATATACTCAGGACTTTCAGCCAGGTGAGGAGAAAACACAACAAAGGACATTGTTTACAAATATGCTTGTTTACTGGATTTCAAAATGCATCTCTGACAACTGTGATACGTATCATGGAACAAAAGTCTTGTCATGGTAAGATTGGCAAGGATTAAAACATCTGTATATATAAAACTGGCTTAAAATCTGTGAGCACTGTAAACGTGTAGACTGATATTAGATGTAGAGAAGATAAAATGCTGACATAAGACTTCTGTAGGTAAGAGATGGAGTCATCTCATCACAAACACACTGTCATTTCTCCCCAACAAAACCTTTCTTGTCCATTGCTACAATGGTGACTGTGTCATAAAGAGGGGTCAGACTTGAGGCAGTTTGAAGGTATCTTCACAGGTTATTTAAATAACATTTTGTCAATAGACTAAAGTCTAATAATCTGAATCAATCTCATAAACAAAGACTGCCTCATTACACAGAGACTAGCGCTTGTTTAACTAACACGGACACTTAGCCATCCAAACTAGATCAGCTTTAAAACTGGCACACAAGGCATGAATGGACAATAATCCTAAGATATGATTATATAAATGTATATAGATCACTAACACAAACAGTCCGGTATTGTTTGCTCTCAGACTCCTACTCCTAAGGTTCCCAGACAGTACATGCCCACGCCACTTCTCAGTGAATACTGCTGTTTGTCATTCATACTTGCATTAATGTAGTGTCTAAGTTCAATTGCATTTTCTTCTACAATGAAGCAAAAAATGTCAAACAGAATTGAAGACATTAAATTTGATCTTGGATATAAAATAAGATATACAATGAAATGGGATTTCTGAATGATAGACACTGTGTTATATTAGTAACGGTCAGATAAGAATACTTTTGTTTTGAGAGAATCTAGCTGCAAACCCACTAAGCAGGGCTGTGAACACCAGTGGCTGTCTGGAGGAGATCGGACATCTTCATAGAACAAGGCAGCAGCGACAATTCAGGAGCATCTTCTGACAACACCTCTACACTCTCAGCTCAACCTCACCCTCTCCCTACTTTGCCCGCCCTCACCCTACCTTGCCCACCCACTCCCCATGTTGTCCACCCTCTCCCCATGTTGCCCACCCTCTCCCCATTTTGCCCACCCTCTCCCCATTTTGCCCATCCTCTCCCCATGTTGCCCACCCACTCCCCATTTTGCCCACCATCCCCCATTTTGTCCACCCTCTCCTCATGTTGCCCATCCTCACCACCCTCTCCCATGTTGCCCACCATCCCCCATTTTGTCCACCCTCTCCCTCATGTTGCCCATCCTCACCCTACCTTGCCCACCCTCTCCCCATGTTGCCCACCCTCTCCCCATTTTGTCCACCCTCTCCTCATGTTGCCCATCCCTCACCCTACCTTGTCCACCCTCTCCCATGTTGCCCACCCTCACCCATTTTGTCCACCCTCTCCCCATGCTGCCCACCATCCCCCCATTTTGTCCACCCTCTCCTCATGTTGCCCATCCTCACCCTACCTTGCCCACCCTCTCCCCATGTTGCCCACCCCACCCTCTCCCATTTTGCCCATCCTCTCCCCATGTTGCCCACCCTCTCCCCATGTTGCCCACCTCTCTCCCCATTTTGCCCACCATCCCCCATTTTGTCCACCCTCTCCCTCATGTTGCCCATCCTCACCCTACCTTGTCCCACCCTCTCCCCATGTTGCCCACCCTCTCCCCATTTTGCCCACCCTCTCCCCATTTTGTCCACCCTCTCCTCATGTTGCCCATCCTCACCCCTACCTTGTCCACCCTCTCCCCATGTTGCCCACCCTCTCCCCATTTTGCCCACCCTCTCCCCATTTTGTCCACCCTCTCCTCACCCTACCTTGCCCACCCTCTCCCCATGTTGCCCACCCACCCCCATTTTGCCCACCATCCCCCATTTTGTCCACCCTCTCCCACCCTCTCCCCATGTTCTCCCCATTTTGCCCACCCTCTCCCCCATTTTGTCCACCCTCTCCTCACCCTACCTTGCCCACCCTCTCCCCATGTTGCCCACCATCCCCCCATTTTGTCCACCCTCTCCTCATGTTGCCCATCCTCACCCTACCTTGCCCACCCTCTCCCCATTTTGTCCACCCTCTCCCTGCTTTGCCCACCCTCAAAGTAGGGACTCTGCAAATCATCGAGTTTTGTGCCCCTCAGCTTGACGCCCCTGAAATGTCTGCACAGCACTAACAACGATAGTGGATATCACAAAACAACAACCACAAACTACACAACAATGTATACATACTGGCAAATCACAAAACAAGTGAAATAAAAGTTAACAAGTATTACCACAAACCACAAAGGAAAAGTCACATTGTGTAGTTCTACGATATAACAAGTTTGATTTGGTCTTTGATTTTGTTTGATACAAGTGGATTGTCATCATCAATGCTGAAACTGAGAGGAATCCTGGCAAACGACTGGCTAGAATACTCCACAGTGACTATACAGTCCACTCCATTGCACATCACATGCCTCTGGGGCATGTATCATACCACTTGAAGGAGGACACAGATAGGAGATTGTCTTGACCTACTCACCAGCTAGTGCCTGATGCTCAACTACCATCCATAGCAGTATTCAGGTCTATAACGTTACATTCTGATGACTGCCGGTGAAACACAGGCTCATACATGTAGTCTTTACACCTGCTAATGCTTCATGTCGAGACAGAAGCTGAGAATCTGAGGTATTACATACATTCCCCTCCCATCCCAACCCCCAAATCATCTACAATACAGTATTATTTACCAATATGCCCCTTAAACTATATTGTTTAACATATTGTTTTGTACCCATCATCTGAGACAATCAATCAGATTAGAGCAAACAACATATTTTTCATAGTTCACAGCCAGGTCAATCAGAAGTCCTCTAAAATAATTGTTGTGGCATCTCAAGGTCACCTCATCAGTTCCTAAAAAAGATTTCTTTTTCTAAATCAAATAAAGTGATATCTTGTTGAGAGAGATCAATACAAGAGTAACAAGCAGTGGTACAACTTCTTATTCTCACTTCAACATTTTGATTTATACGCCAGTACTGATACTTAGCAGAAGTGGAAACAAAACTGTTTTCCATACCACTGACTATTAGCCAAATCAACTTGTAAATCAACAACCTACATGTAAGCTTGTCCACAAAGAGATGGACATCAGCAATAGAATTGTACACTGAACAAGGCTACAGTTTTTGCTTCCATCATTAGTGTAAATGGTTATCCATGTGACTAATCACGGACTTTGCGGTTGACTTTGTCGTAGACTTCAGGGAAAGCCTTCCAACAATCCAGCTTCAGACGCATCTTGTCATAGAGGGAGTGGTCGAACATGTCATGGAACTCTTCCCGGGAGAGGTAGGAATCTGCGTACAGCATCTGGAATCTAGGAGGACAAATGGCACATTGTACACTGTATACTGTTAAACCAGGTAATGACTTCACATGTAATGTGTATGTGCAGGGCCAGTCTTTCCAGTACTTAAATTGTGTAACAGTTGTACATGTCAATGAGGAGGGGTGCACTTATAAAGAGCTTTTGATTTTTAGTCTTGTGTTCTACTAGTAAATTCAGTTTGTAAAATCCCATCATTGACACATGTTACAGAAAAAGTCTGAAACAGACAGAACCTGAACCATGGGCTGACAACATAATCTTCAGTCACACACAGCATCACACACACAGTCACACAAAGTCTACCATCAATCACACACATCAGTCACACAAAGTCTCACACCAGTCACACAATCTCACATCAGTCACACAGTCTCGCACAGTCACAGTCTCACATAGAGTCACAGTCTCACATCAGCCACACATCAGTCACACAAAGTCTCACGTCAGTCACACAGTCTCTCATCAGTCACACATAGTCACAACACTCTCTCATCAGTCACACGGTCTCAGATCAATCACACACAGCCTCACATCAGTCACACATCAGTCACACACAGTCTCACATCATGCTCACATCAGTCATGCTCACATCAGTCACTCTCACATCAGTCACTCTCACATCAGTCACTCTCACATCAGTCACTCTCTCATCAGTCACATCATGCTCTCACATCAGTCTCACACAGCTCTCATCAGTCACTCTCTCATCAGTCACACAGTCTCTCATCAGTCACACAGTCTCATCATCAGTCACACAGTCTCTCATCAGTCACACAGTCTCTCATCAGTCACAGTCTCTCATCAGTCACACACAGTCTCATCAGTCACACAGTCTCTCATCAGTCACACACAGTCTCATCAGTCACACAGTCTCTCATCAGTCACACATAGTCACAACACTCTCTCATCAGTCACACGGTCTCACATCAATCACACACAGCCTCACATCAGTCACACATCAGTCACACACAGTCTCACATCAGTCTCAGTCATCAGTCAGTCACTCTCATCAGTCAGTCACACAGTCAGTCACACAGTCTCTCATCAGTCACACACAGTCTCACATCAGTCACACAGTCTCTCATCAGTCACAGTCTCTCATCAGTCTCACAGTCAGTCATCAGTCACAGTCTCTCATCAGTCACACACAGTCTCTCATCAGTCACACAGTCTCTCATCAGTCACACAGTCTCATCAGTCACACAGTCAGTCTCATCAGTCACACAGTCTCTCATCAGTCACACACAGTCAGTCAGTCACACACATCAGTCACACACAGTCTCATCAGTCACACAGTCTCTCATCAGTCACACTCTCATCAGTCTCTCATCAGTCACACTCACATCAGTCTCAGTCATCAGTCAGTCACAGTCATCAGTCACACAGTCTCTCATCAGTCACACAGTCTCTCATCAGTCACACAGTCTCACATCAGTCACATCAGTCTCATCAGTCTCACATCAGTCACACAGTCTCTCATCAGTCACAGTCTCACATCAGTCACACACAGTCTCATCAGTCACACAGTCTCATCAGTCACACATCAGTCACACAGTCTCATCAGTCACACAGTCTCACATCAGTCTCACACAGTCTCATCAGTCACACACAGTCTCACATCAGTCACACAGTCTCACATCAGTCACACAGTCTCTCATCAGTCACACAGTCTCTTCACAGTCTCTCATCAGTCACACAGTCTCTCATCAGTCAGTCTCTCATCAGTCACACAGTCTCTCATCAGTCACACATAGTCACAACACTCTCTCATCAGTCACACGGTCTCACATCAATCACACACAGCCTCACATCAGTCACACACAGTCTCACACAGTCTCAGATCATGCTCACATCAGTCATGCTCACATCAGTCACTCTCACATCAGTCACTCTCACATCAGTCACTCTCACATCAGTCACTCTCACATCAGTCACACACACATCAGTCACACAGTCTCACATCAGTCACACAGTCTCTCATCAGTCACACAGTCTCACATCAGTCACTCTCATCACATCAGTCTCTCATCAGTCACTCAGTCTCCATCAGTCACTCTCACACACAGTCTCACATCAGTCACACAATCTCTCATCAGTCAAACAGTCTCTCATCAGTCACACAGTCTCTCATCAGTCACACAGTCTCTCATCAGTCACACAGTCTCTCATCAGTCACAACAGTCTCTCATCAGTCACACAGTCTCTCACATCAGTCACACACAGTCTCATCAGTCACACAGTCTCATCAGTCACACAGTCTCTCATCAGTCACACAGTCTCATCAGTCACACAGTCTCTCATCAGTCACACAGTCTCGTCACAGTCTCTCATCAGTCACACAGTCTCATCAGTCACACAGTCTCTCATCAGTCACACAGTCTCTCATCAGTCACACAGTCTCACATCAGTCACATAGTCTCATCAGTCACACAGTCTCTCATCAGTCACAGTCTCACATCAGTCACACACAGTCTCATCAGTCACACAGTCTCTCATCAGTCACACACAGTCTCATCAGTCACACAGTCTCACATCAGTCACACATCAGTCTCACACAGTCTCATCAGTCACACACAGTCTCACATCAGTCACACAGTCTCACATCAGTCACACAGTCTCTCATCAGTCACACAGTCTCTCATCAGTCACACAGTCTCTCATCAGTCAGTCTCTCATCAGTCACACAGTCTCACATCAGTCACATCAGTCACATAGTCTCATCAGTCACACAGTCTCTCATCACACAGTCCCTCTCATCAGTCACACATAGTCTCTCATCAGTCACACATAGTCTCTCATCAGTCACACACAGTCTCTCATCAGTCACATCAGTCACATACAGTATCACATCAATCACACACAGTTTCACATCAGTCACACACAGTCACACAGTTTCTCATCACACAGTCTCACATCAGTCACACAGTCTCACATAAGTCACACACAGTCACACCCATACACAGGTGAGTCTGTTTTCCCCTGTTTGTGTGTTGTTTAACACTATGCTCAGCAATATGCCAGCTGTAAAACATCAGTCTGTAGATATCAGGACCAGACGACCCAGTGATTGACATCAGGAGCACAGATCTCCTCAATTGGGATACGATGCATCAACCCAGTCAGTCAGCCTGCCCACCGTAAGTGGCCTCCTCCTCCAACAAGCACGGGTTGGGGAGACCAGTTCTACATATGTTCACGTGGTTGTGGTTATCGGGCTGCTACAGCAGTCTGTGAACCTTCCATAACAAGGCTTAAATCTAGGAAATCATATAATTACATATACCATATATATATAGGACATATATATATTACATATATATAGTGGTATATGAAAAGGAGCAGTAGATCATTCTTGCCAGCTAGCAGAAATAAATCAGTTTTAATCATATTATGTATGAAGAATGTTTGTCTCTAACCTATTGCCTTACTGGATAACTGACATTCATTTACTCTCTACCTACCCATGGACTTTCTTCACGTAGTACTCGATTCTTCTAGTAGAAGGGATGGTACTGAAGCCTGGGTTCTTGGGAGCTCCATAGGCACCAATATCAACATACAGTTCATCCTCACCACTAGCGGGATGTACCATTCCTGGGTTATTGTACAGCATGAAGGGGCATAGCCACAGTGGGTATAGCTGTCAAAACACAAGACATACTGAAGTCATGTACAGCTGTAAGTAGAGAAGATATAGTCAGTGTACCACTGCATGTTCAGCTGTAAGTAGAGAAGATATAGTCAGTGTACCACTGCATGTTCAGCTGTAAGTAGAGAAGATATAGTCAATATACCACTGCATGTACAGCTGTAAGTAGAGAAGATATAGTCAATATACCACTGCATGTTCAGCTGTAAGTAGAAAAGATATAGTCAATATACCACTGCATGTACAGCTGTAAGTAGAGAAGATATAGTCAATATACCACTGCATGTTCAGCTGTAAGTAGAAAAGATATAGTCAATATACCACTGCATGTACAGCTGTAAGTAGATGATGTAGTCCATATACCACTGCATGTATAGCTGTAAGTAGAGAAGATATAGTCAATATACCACTGCATGTATAGTGCGGGGGCACGGTGGCCGAGCTGGCTAAGCACCAGGCTAGTGATCCAGCGAGGTTGAGGTGTCGGGATCAAGCCCACCTGTGACCGGGTGTAAAAACCTTGGAGTCAACTTTGTGTGCAGACTCTTTCAGTGTTGTCACAACCCCAAGTGTACAGTACACAACCCTGTGCATTTAAAAGAACCCACGAATCCGTTGGTATATGACCAGATGGTGGCCACATGAATACATGCAAACACCTAGTTGCGGGTACAGCAACGTGCAGTGAACTTGGACAAAGTACTGTGACTATGTGTCCCAGTCCACCCAGCTGTGAATGGGTACCTCGTTAGGATGAGAAAGCCACAATAACTCGGTGCGCCTAGTGGCTGCAAGAGTTGTATACTCCCCAGGGAGTTGAGATTGATAATACGATGTGACGTTGGGATTGACATCCAATGATCGAGGGGACAAATACATATCCAGTTGCCTGGATATGTGCGCTATATAAATATCCTATGATATGATATGATGATGATGTACAGCTGTAAGTAGAGGAGATATAGTCAATATACCACTGCATGTACAGCTGTAAGTAGGAAAGATGTAGTCAATATACCACAGACTGAGGGAAATTGTGGTGCATTGTATATTATCTTCTTTGTTAACAGTTGTAGACATTTCAATGTTATTAGATTACCCAAAGTATTTGAAAAATATTATGTTCTTCAGGTGGTTCAAATGTACAGGGCAACTGGATTGCCAATGGAAATACTGGTCAACCAAGTGGCATAAACAACGGTAACCATTAACAGTGTTGTAAATTCCCAAAAATTTCAGCCAGACAACTGGACTGGTAACTCTCAAAAGTTACCAGACCGGCTGGAAAGTTGCCAGTCCAGAATTTTCTGGATTAAGAAAATAAAAAGAAGGTTACGTTAATAAGAGGAGGGAACTGTTTAATGTCAGGTTATTGTCACAATAACACACGTTTTCAACTGTTTTTCAGTCAAGGCTGTAGTCATTATATACATTACAAAATTACACTGATTTAACAGCCAGACCATCGGGCGTGCAACTTTTTAAACTGACCGTCCGGTCGCAAAACAGACTGCCCCGGGAGGTCGGGCAGGTGGGAGTTTGCAACACTGCCATTAAGTGTATGACTGCCTTCTGATTGGCTGGTTCCAGCTATACTGGCTGCTGATTGGCTGGTTCCACCTTGACGAAAGTATAAGAACCTATACCGAAACGTCGCTATTGTTAAAATAAAGAAGTTGATCATCCATAAAGTTGTGTCATCTCTATACCAGCAACTTCTAAAATGCCACTCAAACAAACCTCTCGTACCAGGCTGGTATTTATGCATCATTAGTGAACTGACCTCCTTATTGGACACGTTCGCTGCTATTCACACCATAATACACTAGGACCAGTATAACTGTCCGTGTTTTATGAGTACATACGTCGAGTTCATGGTGGAAGACAGACAGCGCGTCACCAAGGTCCTTCATCGGGATGAGCATGTCCTGGATAATCTGGTACTTCTCGTACATCTTCTTGATTGTCTCCCCTTGGGTTAGCTTCAGTAGAGAGATCTTGGGGGGCACCATCCATCCCAGGAGGAAACGGAACACAGGGTTGTTGCCGAACGGGATGATGTCCTGGAAAGAAAGAGACATGTCAGCTTCCACTAAACCTTCCATCTGATACCTACTGTAACATAGATGTAGTCTGGCCGGTTAGTTACACAGTCAAACATTTTCATCACAAGACGAGACGTCCTAATTTGCACAGTTTCTGTGTGAAACTCTCTGCTTTCTAAACTGCCAGGATGCTGACGTTCCTGTTCCTGTGTACTGGTAACTTAATCTTAGCTGTCTTAAATAGTATGATGCAGTGGAATTCAACACTTCATTCCATACCAAGAGACCCGTGAAGATCTGGGTTAGAATTGGTCTTCAGCAACCCATGCGTGTCGTAAAAGGCGACTAACGGGATCAGGTGGTCAGGCTCGCTGACTTGGTTGAGACATGTCATCGTATCCCAATTCCATAGATCAGTGGATTGTCTGGCCCAGACTCGATTATATACAGACCGCTGCCATGTAGCTGGAATATTGCTGAGTGCAGAGTTAAACAAAAAAACAACCAGCCATACTTTGAGTTAAGGAAAAGCTAATGCTGTACAGAATCAAAACTTGGAAAATGATAATCTTCTTCTGTGCATAGTAACATTTTCAGTACAGATATGAATAACACGAGAAACTTGAATTACAAACCTGTTTCTTTGACATCAAAGCAGATATTTCAAAACTGATGAAAAGCATCATGACACAGATGGGTAAAACTGCTATTATTAAGCCCTACTCATTACTAAACCATAATATGTATTGTTGACTTTTGCCAGTCCACCCAATTCGTTCTTGAAGGATTTAAATAGTAGGGCTGCGCAATATAACCGGTTTACCGGTATTTACCGGTTCAGACATGAAAACGATACGTATTGCGATACGCTGGTTGAAAACCGGTATTTTGACTTGCATCCGGAAAACTTCGTAACACTCGGAAATCTTCTGATATTTCCTTGTTTCATTTGTGCAAAATTTTCTTCACATTTTTATTTTATCATGATTAAAAGTTGTTATTAAAGCTTAATCAAGCATAGTGATTTTGTTGTGTTTTTGCTCAATAAATCAAGCATTAACTAGATCTAGCTTATAAGTAGTATTTTGTTTAAAAATACTTCAGGCAATATATTGCAATACATATCGCAATACATGCTTTCGCATCGCAATATATTGCAATATGAAAATTCTGTGCAATACCCACCCCTATTAAATAGCATTGTCTTTGATTTTTAGTGGAGTAAGAAACCAGAATGAATAGAGAGATGTGAATTGTAATCCTATTAAAGATTGTGGACTGGGAATGTTAAACATGTTTGTGATTGTTAAAGCTATGAATGAGCTACAAAACTAAGCTCTACGAAAAAAGTTGGAAAATCATATTAGATGCTACTTTCCCCAAGAGGGACAATTTACCATCCTTAGGACTTCACTATGCTATAACAATTACTACAGGACATAAGAAATATTTTCGGGAAATAATGTCTTCAGTATCACCATGAATTTTCACAAAATTTGCTGTTGGGTCATTTTCAAAATTTCAAAATCATTAATCAGTTTTTTTCTGTATAAGAGACCCTTGAAGATCCAGGTTAGAATTGATCTTCAGTAACCCATGGTTGTTGTAAGAGGCGACTAATGGGATTGGCTTGTCAGGATCGCTGACTTGGTTGACACATGTGGTCACATCGCCATTTGTGTAGATCGATGCTCATGCTGTTGATCACTGGACTGTCTGGTCCAGATTCGATTATTTACAGACCACTGCCATATAGCTGGAATACTGCTGAGTATGGCGTAAAACTAAATTCATTCAGTCACTCATAGTGTAAGAAATGGTTTGACAAAGGAGTAAGTCAGGTGTGTGATCTCGTTATGGGTGATGGTTCTTTCAGGCCTTTTGAGAATTGCCTTTATACTAACTCCATTCTAGTGTCTTTTCTACAAAATCACAGTGAAATAAACGCATTTAGATCATATGTGAAGCATAAACCATTCAAAAAAGTGAATACCTCAATTCTTCTCGAGTCCACACCTGTACATAGAAAGCTCCAATCAACAAAAAAGGGGTCAAACTTGATATCAAATCTCAATTGAAATGGTGAAACCAGATGGTGTTAGACTTGAACTGGTAGAGCATTCATGCAAAAATAGTTAAAAAACACTTGGTTCCAAAACAGAATTATACATAGAATATCCTTCATCCACAGAATACACAAAAAAGAATCAAGTGTTTGTACCTTATGTTGTTTGCAGTGAAAACGTACCGATGAATTTCACTTTAAACAAAACAGTAAATCAAATTGAGTGAAATTAAGATTGCGAATCGTCATAATTTTACCTTGCCAAATGAACATTTAAATCTCCGAATTTTATTCAACTTGCAATAAAAGTTGTTTAACAAACGATCATAGTTTCAAATCGCTATTATTGTTTTGTATTACAAGGGGGTACTCACAATAGTTGGAACAGTGAGACAAATGCACGTCGGTGTGTGATGAGCGTTAACTTAGACTACCGTAGAAACCAACCCCTCTTGTTCTTGGGGTTTCATTTAATTGCTCTAGTATCAACACGCTAAATGAGTTGTGTATCATACATTAACTAAATAAAGAGATGACACTGAGGGGATCACTGACCCATCAAGGTCATTGCCTACTTATATCATGGATTGAAAGGCAAGAAAGTTTTGTAACATATCAAAAAAATATATAATGGTTTCAGAAGAAACGTAGATGAATACTTTTGTAGATGAGTGTTGTATCATATAGTTGGTACTGTGGTCTATTGATAAATCAGTGAATCACTCCCAGGATTAATGAAGTAGTATCTCACAAATATTGACACTACCTACACATGATACTCATGTCAGACTTGTCAATAAGGAAAGGAAAATAACAGCAAGCGAGCCACACTTCAGAAGTACCTCGAGTTCCCAGAAGATGCTGCGAGTGTGGCGGTGGTAATAGTGGCGGAGTGGGATGTATTCGACAGCGGGGCCAGTGCGGAGAAACTCCTCCACATGCTTGTAGAACCATGGCTTCCAGAAGTTGCCGATGGAGTTGATCTGAAACCAAATACACACACTGTACACCCACAAGACAGTCATTCTCTTTAACCATGCCCACTATATTTCCAATCACTTTAACCTATCTAGAAGGGCACCTGTCTGAACACAGAAAGGAATGGGGTAGTTAAGTTTTGGAGTCTCTGTACAAGTTCGTATCTGTAAGTGACAAGAGCTCCCACAATGCACCACCTGATGTGCCCTACCTTGTCCTGTTCCGCTTCATCTGTCATGTTGGCCGTCATGATGACCCCCTTGTCCATGGAATACACCAAACCCTCCACAAAATCATTGCCAGACTTCTTCTTTGTTTCTTCCTGGAACTTGCGTAGCATATCCCTCTTGGTGTGGACAGGGTAGTATTCTATCTTCACATACTTCCTGGCTGGGATGATCTTAATCTCCGCAGACACAAGAAATCCCAGAGTTCCATATGACCAGGGCACAGAATAAAACAGGTCAGGATTCTCAGTCTGGAAATATGATCAAATTCTTTCAGAAACACAGTGGTGTTTATCATTAAAAGTGTATTATGAAGTTCAGTATTGGACTGAATGGGTTTGTTATTTGTGAATTGTGCCAACATATGGCCAGACAACTTGTGTCCAGTGAGGGTCTGCCATTACTGAGAATGTCCATGAAGGGTGTGAAGGACAAGGCACCATTGCTAGACATAACATCCCCACCCACTCTGACTTTATTCACTTATATTCAAATGTTCCATACAGAATCACAGACACAATATGTAACATTAACAACCAATGACGGTTCCAGTTGGTTCACATGTAACCAATCAGGTCACAGCTCACAACCAATGACAGTTCAAGTTGGTTCACATGTAACCAATCAGGTCACAGCTCACAACCAATGACAGTTCCAGTTGGTTCACATGTAACCAATCAGGTCACAGCTCACAACCAATGACAGTTCCAGTTGGTTCACATGTAACCAATCAGGTCACAGCTCACAAGATATGGAAACAGATAAAAGACAAGAGGTTGCTGCAAACTAGAAGTTTTACAAGGTGCAGGGGTACCTCAGCACAAATATTAAAACTCCAACATCTTCATTCACTTCCATAAAAATGTATTGCTAGCGACCACTGATGTAACAGAATATATATGGGAATAGCTTCCACAATGCATAGTGCTTCAAAACTCTTGTGGTTAGCCACACAGGCCACTGTCTACAACCACTCAATCATATCAATCATAGGCCGCTGTCTACAACCACTGAATCATATCAATCATAGGCCGCTGTCTACAACCACTGAATCATATCAATTGTAGGCCGCTGTCTACAACCACTGAATCATATCAATCATAGGCCGCTGTCTACAACCACTGAATCATATCAATTGTAGGCCGCTGTCTACAACCACTGAATCATATCAATCATAGGCCGCTGTCTACAACCACTGAATCATATCAATCATAGGCCGCTGTCTACAACCACTGAATCATACAATCATAGGCCGCTGTCTACAACCACTGAATCATATCAATCATAGGCCGCTGTCTACAACCACTGAATCATATCAATCATAGGCCGCTGTCTACAACCACTCAATCATATCAATCATAGGCCACTGTCTACAACCACTCAATCATATCAATCATAGGCCGCTGTGTTCAACCACTGAATCATATCAATTGTAGGCCGCTGTCTACAACCACTGAATCATACCAATCATAGGCCGCTGTCTACAACCACTGAATCATATCAATCATAGGCCGCTGTCTACAACCACTGAATCATATCAATCATAGGCCGCGGTCTACAACCACTGAATCATACCAATCATAGGCCGCTGTGTTCAACCACTGAATCATATCAATCATAGGCCGCTGTCTACAACCACTCAATCATATCAATCATAGGCCGCTGTCTACAACCACTAAATCATATCAATCACAGGCCGCTGTCTACACAACCACTGAATCATATCAATGTATTAAAGACAACACTAAAGTCACTTGGATTGCCCTATTATTCTATGTCACACCAAGTAGACAGTTTTTTTTGTAGGCTGCGATTGGATGATATTACATATAGTGTTTATGGGTGTTTGGGATCACATGAAACAATCAGCAGGTCTGGTTCTTATTGGTGACATAAAATCTGCCTTGTCAAATTAACATCAGTTTCAGACTTTGTTAAGAATTTTACAGCCCAAAACAAACTTTCAACATTTTGACTTCTGCTTCATTATTTATATTCTTCATTACAGATGCAATGCAGGGTGAGGTAGTGAGGAAAATACACTGTATGTGTTGTGATCAGTGAGAGGTACAAACTCTACATACATATGGGTAACTGGGTCTCCACTGTATAATAACAAATACTGAAATGTTTATAGCATTGTGAATCAGTTTTCAATTGATATTTTAACATATGAAACGCACGTACAACCACAGGATAATTATGCAGTTTTCGCATACCGCATAACTACCGAGGGGGATATAAGGTCGTATCATCGCCACACACTCAACATTCAGGATATAATTGCTCCTTCATGTAATCTGATGACCTAGGTTACTGTTATCATGTATAATTGGCAGTGCACAATCCCATTCCGCTGTCCCTGTGACATTTAAACACACAATCCCAGCATTACTTATAACTACTCATCTTGTCAGCTTGTTTATCATAGATAATGTCTCTGTTAAGTAGCCAACAAATATGTATTTCAATATTTCATATCAAAATTCTTTTTTTTTTTAATTCTTTAATTTTCAAAACTGAATATACATGATCTTTCAAGTATATTATTTACAAGGTGTCATCATTTTCTTTGCTATAGTTTATTCTTTACCTTTGAACATTTGACAACACTCCCATCTGCAATAACCAGTTCAAAGGACTCGCAGCAGTGCTGGAACAGGCCGTACTTGTGGGATGACGTCTCGATGCCAACACCCATGATGAGGCCGCCTGTATCAACACATGGAAGTGGTCAGAGTGCACAACAACATGTACGTCCAAACATAACACTGATCATGTAAATAATCCATGTAAACTTCTTTCTGACAAAGTCCAGTTACATCATAATCCTTGATTTATAGATTGGAACTAGTCAAATTGCAACAGACATGAGATGTTGCTGAATTAGAGAAGAAAAGATATCACTTTGAATATGTCCGTTGAGACAAAATATATATAATTTATATATCTGTAAAAGGTCTTTGTTGAAAACCTTACACAACATTAAAGTGATGCTTGAAAATACTATACTTTTAACTGTACACAGTATTATTCCATAATTCTATTTGCAAATTCATCACAAGCTTTTCTAAAACAACAGTCACTAACAGATGTTTGTAGTTGGAATGACAAATGTGTGCACCTCAACATATATGTTCTTGCTGCTTAATGTCAAGCTAAAGTGTGTCTAAGCCACGTTTATTCAGCAGATTGTGTTAATGATCAGAACCTACACTTGATAAAGTATTACAAGATAATTGAGTATGTAGACTTTTCTTGGGTACCGGGTATTCTAGTAACAACTTGCAGAAGAAAAGACGGACACAAAGCATGTTTGTATTAGCCACTTTTGTGCTGTGTCATATCCACTTACCAAGAACCTACTTGTCATACAACTCATTACATATTTGTACAGACAACAAACTTCTGCTGAACACACTGTGATACTACAGCAGACCTAATAATGATGGTCCTGACCCTCAAATTGAACCATCTTCTCCGAAAAGCATCAGACACAGCTGTGGAGGACGTGGTTGGGAAACAAATCCTGCATCACCTTCAACCAATACATCACCTTCAACCCTACATACCCCTTTAATCCTGTATCACCCTTCAACCCTGCATGCCCCTACATCCCCCTTCATCCCTGCATGCCCCTTCAACCCTGCATGCCCCTTCATCCCTGCATGCCCCTTCATCCCCCTTCAACCCTACATCCCCCTTCAACCCTGCATGCCCCTACATCCCCCTTCATCCCTGCATCCCCCTTTAATCCTGCATCCCCTTTCAACCCTGCTTCCCCTTCATCCCTACATCCCCTTCATCCCTGCATCCCCTTTAACCCCTGCATCCCCCTTCAACCCTACATCCCCCTTCAATCCCCTTTAATCCTGCATCCCCTTCAACCCTGCATCCCCTTTAATCCCTGCATCCCCCTTCAACCCTTTAATCCTGCATCCCCCTTCAAACCCCTTTAATCCCTGCATCCCCTTCAACCCCCCCTTCAATTTTAATCCTGCATCCCCCAACCCTGCATCCCCTTCAACCCCCTTTAATCCTGCATCCCCCTTCAACCCTGCATCCCCTGTATCCTGTGCAACCTCTGGACCCACCAATCAGATAAGACACAGCACATTTCACGCCTATGTTCAGCTAAAGGGCAACATCTGAGAACTGAGAAAGGTAAACTTTAAAACATCCATATCAGATCTACTGCACTACAGCTTGATAACTACAATCAGTTGTGCCAACTATGACCCGGGCTGTGGTGACCATTTCATTCATATCCTTCTCTGTTGATAAAGTCTATCCCAGGTTGAGCTTATCAAGGCGAGCACCTAGTACCCTACCCTGTCCAAGCACTACACAGGTATGTGTACACACCACACGTCAAACCACACTTAACAGATAGGATACTTGGTTCTGAATGGATAGACACCTGGTATTTGTCACAGGGCCTGCACAACAGACCACAGGTAAAATCATGAATGTATACAGGTGGGCTTGGTGACATAGATGTGTACCTCATCATGACAATAAAGACCGTCATTGGGTTTTAGACAGATATAATACCATTTCTGATGTTTGTGAGATTATTGCTGTAGAAATTTTTCCAAACCTGCAGAGGTTTTCAATTCTTTGAAGAGAGTCGTCCTTGGGGTACATATTATGCATTTTCCGGCTGTAAAATGTCCTGTGACAGTTGTATCAATGTTTTTTGAATAAAAAGATTGTACAATAAATAAACTCTTTTATTTATTATACGGACCCTACCTCACGGAGTTACCTCCCTTAACGCATGCGCACCAACTGGGTAGGCTCCTAGACCCGTATCATCATTCCTTCTGCTGAATTCTCATCAGTGAACAGAATTGCGGGGAGGTGGGTGGGCCCTACCCCAGGGCGACTCTCTTCAAAGAATTGAAAACCTCTGCAGGTTTGGAAAATTCTTTTCAGAGAGATCGTCCTTGGGGTACATATTATGCATAAACACAGACTCCCAAAGACCGGAGGCCAGGGAGGAGGAATTCTGTCAAGCACACACAAAATATAGCGATCATTATCATGGAAAAAATTGAACAGGCATGCATAACACTCACCTGTCACTTTCGACCCAGTTTGGCTTCGCGAGGCATTATGGGAGGGAACTGACAGGGAGGATTTGTGCTCAAAGAGCGACCTCTAGCATAATGAGACATTGCACGTAGTGCGAATGTCAGTGAAATCCGACCCACTAAGTGGCTTCTTCATGAGAGAATTTGCGTGGGGGAAAACAAAATACCACTCACTAACGATATCGTAACTCCTTAGAGAATCGAAGGGGGTACAGGTTCTCTGAGTGCTGCATTAGCAGACATGTCAATAATGGAATCATTGTACAGTAGCGTCAACACAAACCAATAAACCAAGACTCACTTGGTCAGGGGTGGCAGGACACTGTCCACTGGAAAACGATGCGACCAAAGCTCGCGCGATTGCGTGAATGTGTATCGAGCTGATAATGGCGTATAAAAGTGCTTGGCGGCTCCAAATAGCGGCAGAGCAGATCTCTTCAATGGGGAGTGCGGCTGCAAAAAACTTTGATCGGCTACTGCCTGACCGAGTGAGCCTTCAACCCCTCAGGGGAGGCTTGCCCTTAGCCTGATAAGCGGCACAAATACGAAACAAGCCAGCGAGACAAAGTTTGCTTGCTGCGGCTGGCAGAACCAACCTTCCACGCCACCGTAACAACAGAACAGCTGGGTACCCGTGCGGATCCCCTGCGTTAAGTTTGATATAGACTTTGGCGTCTGGCCGGACATCCAACGGTGAGTGCTTTCGTAGGAGTGGTCCCGATGTGGAAGGCTGGGTAAGAGTAGGAAGTTCGATAGGAGCTGTCACATGGAAGCGTGATCGACCTTGATTCGGTAAGTATCTGGGAGGCGAATGCTGACCGCGATCCGTGTGAAACACAGTCAGCGCCCGGGTCGGACGACATAGCATGTATATCGCCGACTCTTCGACCAGATGTTACCGCCACCAGAAACACAGCTTTCCAGGTCAACAACTGAATGGAAATAGCCGATAGGTGTGAGAAAGTGGGACGGACAGCCAATCGAGCACGATCGACAAATCCCAAAGGTGGACTGGTTAGCTTCTGAGAGCAGGTCGAATCCGTTCAGCGCCTAGCTAAGCTATGCGAGGGTGCTGCCCCAGAAGAGCACCATCGACAGGGGTGTGAAAAGTGGAAATAGCGGTGGAGTAGCCACGAGATGGTCGGCCGCCAGGCCTTCTTCAAACGAGCTTGCAAAACTCCAATACTGGGACTAAATCCGCAGAAAAGGGATCTGCAATGCCCTATCTGAACACCAGCGGCGCGCATAGCGGGACCACCTATCCTCATACTGAGCGTTTGTCGAATCCGCCTCCGAAGCCAGAATTGTGTCTGCAACTGCTGCAGGAATTCCGCGTGCCTCGAGGTTAGACCTGACAGGCCAAGCCACCCACTGAATCCGTGGATTTGGGTGGGCGCTCCGTTCTGAGTGAGAATGTCGGTCGCCAAAGGTAATAGAACAGGAGGCTGAGCCAGAAACCTGAAATTACCGGAAACCAGCTCTGTGGCGACCCAAGCGGTGCCAGTAGCACAAGTAGCCGAGCTGGCTGGGTGGACAGCTGTGAAAGGACACGAGGGAATGAGTGGTAGTAGCGGGAGCGCCCAGAGCACTTTGCCGTCCAATCCAGCAGGAAGGCGCCGGCAGCCAGCGCCCTCTGGTCCGTATCGAGAGCAGAACACGGGTGTCTGATGCGTCCGCGCGGGACGAAACAGATCCACCTCGAGCGACCCGTACAACTGGGAGATTACTGTGAATATCTGCCTGTCGAGCATCCACTTTCGTCGCGGGGCCAGGATCGGCGAGAGCGCATCTGCTGCGACGCGTTCTCCAGCCCGGAGATAAACAGGAGTACCTGACAATGTACTGTACTGGGTGGCTCAGAGGAGAAAGTCCCACGCTTCCGGAGGGCGCTGGGACACCGTGCCTCCCTGCTTCAGGATGTACGACATGGCCGTCTGGTTGTCTAACTGAAGGCGGACTACCTGGCCGCGGACATGCTCTCTGGCTTTCGAATACCAACCGCACAGCTCTCAGTTCCAACACGTTGATGTGAAGGTGAGCCCGACGGACCAGAGTCCGGAAGCCGACAGACTGCCCAGAAGCGCCCCAGCCCGTGAGGGGCGCATCTGTCTGAACTGTGAGAGCTGGCGTCGGGATTTCAAGGGGAACCCCTGGTGAGATTCCCGACATTTGTCCACCACTGAAGGTGAGGTGTCAACCACTTTCGGGGACTGTGAGACTGCGCTCCAGATCCTCGTGTGAGTCCACAGCGAGCCAAAGCTTGCTGTATGGGGCGCATCCTCAACGCGCCGCCACACTACAGAGATCGTCGCCGCCATATGGCCCAGTAGGCGGAGCCAAGTCGTGCTGGTGCCTGGGGCTGGGAGAGGAATGAAGATACCATCTCCTAACTCTGGTGACCGGGTCGGGCGACAAGGAAAACGAGATCCTTGTTCGTTTGGAATCGGCTCAAGAAAAACCAAGTCCTGGGTGGGTACCAGGTCGGATTTTTGAGGTTGATGATCCACCCCAGTCGAGTTAGAATGTCTATCACTGTGTGAGTAGCATCTTGACTTCGCTGGCTGTGTTAGTGCTCGAGCAACCAGTCGTCTAGGTAAGGGTAACAACGCCTTCCTT